GTTGCCCTGCTGCAGTTCTTTCTGGACAAGCTTCACGAGTAATAGTCTTTCTGGATTAATACCACATACATGGTGATCTTTAAGGGAATGCTGTCCTTCTGCAGTACTTTATGATGTGATTAGAGCATTTGGTAATGCAATCCATATTAGTGCTCAAGCCTAGCTATTGTTTCTTAGTTTCCCAAGAGGGAATGCTGTCCTTCTGCAGTACTTTATGATGTGATTAGAGCATTTGGTAATGCAATCCACATTAGTGCTCAAGCCTAGCTATTGTTTCTTAGTTTCCCAAATGTTTCCCTGGTCCCTGCTGATTTTAGATTCAGCTGATTAGGAAATTAAAAATTATATAAAAATGTGGAGTGTTTTTAAAACCTCTCACTACTTAAAGTCATTATTAATGAAATTATTCAACAAAATCTTTTACGTACTTACTGTGTACAAGGCTTGTATTAAGATTCTGAAGACATGGTGAGCAATAAACTAGACAAAGACCTGCCCACACAGGGTTTATAGATTGATGGAGAGATAGATTTAATTAAATACGAAATTACAGTTGTGACTGGTGCTAGGAAGGAGACTTACATGGGGCTGCTAGAACCTGGTAACAGAGAAGGCTTCCTGAGGAAATAACCCTTGGCCTGAGATCCTTATGGATACACAAAATTCACAGGGCAAAGAGGGAAAGGAAGGTGTTTTAAGCAGAAGGAGCTTGCCTGTGGGAAGGACCCAGGAGGGAGGGAGCAAGGCGGGTTTGGGAGACTGAAGGCAGGCCCGGTGGCCAGCACACAGATGAAGGAAGAGGATGGGAAGAGAACAGATTGGACAAGTAGGTATGGGCCAGGCTGTGCAGGGGCTCATAGGCCATGTGAAGGCATTGTCTTCATCCACGACTAAGCCGAAGCAGGCTGTGTTCTGAAGGGATTGCTCCTACTTTAGAGTGGAGAATGGATTAGAAAAAGGACAGGTAAACCCATTGGAGTGCTATTACAGTGGTCTAGGTGATAGATGGTAATAGCTTGGAATAGGGTGGTGCTGGTGGACATAAGAGAGGACCTGGGTTCTGTATATATTTAGTAGGTAATATTGGTAGAATTTGGGGATAGATTGGATATTGAGGGTGGAGGAGAAGGAGGTGTAATAGGGGACTCTCAGGATGACTTCTAGACTACATGCTCTTGAAGGGAAGCACAGAACTGCCCCGGCAGTACTAGCAGTGTTATGCATGCTTGGAGCCTTTCCTGGAGCGTGGTGAATCAGAAGATTCCCACTGAATTCTCGAGGATCAATTGGAGTGACAGTCAGAGTTGTGCCTTAGAGGACTCAGTGGAATAGTCATAGGAGGTAACTGTTTCAGTTGGTGTTGATGAAGCCCCAAGATTCTTCCTCATGCAGCCAGCCAGTGTCACTTAGGTCCACTCCTAGGGGGTGTAGGTGTTTTCTGTTGTTTTTTCTCTTCAGCCTTCTTTGGCTTCTCCACAACCCTCTTCAAGGCTTTCCCTGGGCCCTTTGTGAGATGCTTGCTTTGACCTGGTTTCGGGTGGGTCTAGCAGATGCTTCACTGATCATTCTACCTCGTTTTCCATCTTATCCTGCTTCCTTCTTCCTGCATCAGAGGCAGTCTGGCAATATCTAAGAACACAGGATGGGCCAGAAAGTCCTGAGTTTGACTTCCATGTCTGCCATGTGCTAGCTGGCTGTCCTTATCTGTAAATGGAGATAATCGTGGGTACAGTGACTGCTTCAAGGGCTTGCTGTGAGGATTAAACAAGTTAATAAGTATAAAACTCATTAAAGAATGCCCTTACGGCTCAAGAAATGTTTGTTAGCGTGATTCAACTCTCAGCCTCAGTAAGGGCTCACCTTGTATCCACTTTGGAAAGAGGGACAGTAGACTTTGGCATTCACAGATTGGACATTTGTGATCTGTCCACAAGGTGACCCTTGAGTCACAGTGTAGTTATTTGTGATGTCGCTAAGGAAGAGAGTGTGTTTACTCATTCAGTTGTAAAGGTCAAGTTGCATAGCCTTTAATCACTCATCCAGCAAATTTGTGATGAACAACAGCTTATATTTGGTTCCCTGCACTGGCCAGCTGCCAAAAAAAAAAAAAAAAAAAAACAGCTTATGCACATTTGGAACACAGCATGATCAGGAATAGGATAGACATGTGGGAATTTCATCTTGTCCTGGAACCCACTCTAAGATCCACATCCAAGACTCAGCACATCCAGATGTGGGCACGCCTATGTCCTTGTTGGTATCCACCTCTCCTCTCCTCCACTCAGCTATGTTTATCATCCAGGGTTAACGAGCAAAGGATGGTACAACTATTTTCTCTTAAGTATATTGAAATATTATCTCCATATTTGTTTTTTGTTTTTCTTATGGAGCACTTTAGTGCTTTTGTGAAATATAGGGTGTAGGGACTATAGGACATTGCCAGTGACTGCTCTCCATTATGTCCTTCCTGGTCCCTCCCCACCACCCAAACAGGTAACTTCTGAAAACCAAATGAAAAGAAAAAAACTCAAACATTTTTTTGAGGGGAAGATTTCTTTATGATTCCTGTTTGTATACCCTGATTTGTTGGAGACCTCTAGGTTCTTTCTCTTCTTGGCATTGGTATATATTTTGATTGGGGAAGGGGAGAGAGTTGATGACTGTGATGATGGTACTTACTTTCTCCTGAGTCGATTATCTGTAAGAATTGCATAACGTATACATATAATTTTTTTGAAGTCTTTACCAGAGAAGGGTTAGATTTTAGTGATGATTGAGTATAGTGTGGCACTTTAAACTCCAGTGCTCAAATGCTTATATAATAAGATTTTTATTCTTAGTTTTTTTTTTTTTTTTTTTTTTTTTAAAGATGACCGGTAGGGGGATCTTAACCCTTGACTTGGTGTTGTCAGCACCACGCTCAGCCAGTGAGCGAACCGGCCATCCCTATGTGGGATCCAAACCCGGGGCCTTGATGTTATCAGCACCACACTCTCCTGAGTGAGCCACGGGCCGGCCCTTTATTCTTAGTTTGTTACCAACTTTCAGCAACTTGATCTACTTTCAATAAAATCAGTAGCTGAGAACACACTTTTATTTTGTACAGCACACCTGAGCAGTCCCTTCCTCGGATGTGGTGTTCTCTTAAGAAAGTCTAGTCTAGTCTTTTGGTGTTGTAGTGGGTTCAAAGTACTTATCTTTTGCAAAGTACTATTGCAAAAGATAAAATGCAGAATGACCAGATCTAAATCATTGTGGGCTTCTAGAAAACAAGTCCTATTAATAGAAAAATGCCGTTTCGTTTCCATGGCTTCTGATATTCTTGCTAGTCAGAGTCTTATGGAATGAGGACCAATTTGGGTGTTGCTAATTTCAGGACTTTCTGATCCACAGAAAAAAGAATTGAGGAGCCTCCTGAGTGGAGTTAGTTTAATGTGGGAAACAGGATTGGGAGAGAAGTAGAAGTTACTGTACTCATGTGAGAGACTTGAATAATTGTAACTTTTAAACAGTATATTTGAATTTTTTGTGTATTAGTTTTCTTTTTCTTTTTCTTTTTTTTTTTTAAAGATGACCTGTAAGGGGATCTTAACCCTTGGTGTTGTCAGCACCACGCTCTCCCGAGTGAGCTAACCAGCCATCCTTATATAGGGATCTGAACCCGTGGCCTTGGTGTTATCAGCACCACACTCTCCCGAGTGAGCCATGGGCCGGCCCTGTGTATTAGTTTTCTGTTGCTTATGACAGGATACCTGCACTGGGTAAGTTATAAAGAAAAGAAATTTATTTAATTTATAGAGAAAAGAAATTTATTTCTTATAATTCTGGAGGTTGGGAAGTCCAAGGTCCAGGAGGTGCATCTGGTGAAGACCTTCATGGTGGGGATTCTCTGCAGTCTTGAGTTGGTGAAAGATATCACATGGCAACAGGGCAAGACTGTCCTTACATGCTCTCTTCTTCTCCTTATAAAGCCACCAGGTGCCACGGTAATCCATTAATCTATTAGCCCATTAATCCATTCATTAATGGATCTGCCATCATGATCCAATCACCTCCAAAAAGGCCCCACCTTTCAAATACCATAGTTGAATTTCCCATCCTCTTAATACTGTGACAATGGGGATCAGGTTTCAAGGTGAGCTTTGGAAGGGACATTCAAACCATAGCACTTTGTTTACTCAAGAAAGGAGAAAATGAAAGAAAGGAAATCAAAGAAGCATAGATACCACCATGTCAAACAATTATAACAACTCCCATTTACTGAGTACGTGTGCCAGGTGTTTACAACTCTCATATTAGATAGTTTTGTTTTTATTTTGCATAGGAGGAAACTGAAGCTTAGTCAGGTTAAATGATATGCCCAAGGTCATGTCTGTAGGTACCAGAGCCAGCTTTGGATTGTGCTCCCCAAGTCTGTACTGTATTATTTCTGTTTTTAGAATACAAACAGAGAGAAGATTGGAGAGACAGGAGGAAAGATAAAAACTTAATTATTAGTACTATGCTATATTAAAAATAACAACTTTCTACTTTAAAAAAGGTAAATTTTGTTTTAAGGTACACATGGATTCCCATTTAGTTTGTGGGTGCAAATACGTTTTCTCCCTCAGATTTTCTGTTTCGTGGAAAAAACAAAGAGTATTAAATGTTCATTCTAGAAAAATAGTACGACTTTGAGGAAATGAAATGTCTGTGTTGTGTCCTTTTAGCATTTTGATGCCAAGTGCAATGGAAAGAAATTATGTTTTGGAAACTTTAGGGATATTGCCTCTTGGAATTTGCCCCTCTGGCTGGATGAAATTAATCCGAGAACAACAATTTTAGTTTTTTAACTGAAAGCTGTTGATAGGAGCATTTATGAGTATTTTGGTCTTTGAGAGCTTCATTTTAACTTCACCCCCACTCCACCCCAGTTCTTTTCAAGGTCAGTGGTCTTTCTGGCAGGGCACTTCCCTTTTTCTACCTTTCCTGAGGTGCCCCAGGTCCATCACACTTTTGAGATGTACACTCTGAATGTGGACTTGGTAAGAAACCATGAATTAAGGGACTTTTTGAGAGAAACAGTGGAGTGAAAACAAGCAGGCTGCCTCTCAGCCTCTCAGCAGATCCTCGGGAGCAATAGCTGACTTTAACTCCCATGTGCTTTTGTCCTGTGTGTGGCAGATCCTTGTACAGTGAAGTACAATTCACTTAAGGGGATTTTTCTAATTCTGGTCAGTTTTGTAGTAAGACTGGTTTCCTACTATAAGCAGTGGATGCTACAGTGATTTTCCCTTTTGTAGTAGGAAACTGGAGACCATGTTGTTAGACTAGCACACCACAGTGAAGAATGTGGGCCCTGATGGTGGGTGTTGCTTTGCCCCCCACAGATTTGTCACCCCACTTCCCCTGGGTGACGGAGACGCAAAGGATTACTCAAAGCCCATCGCTTCTGAGCAGTGAGAGACCCTGAAGTGGGTAATCTCCCGCCAGAACCCTCAGCGAGAGGCATCACTTCCTTGGGAAATTAACCCCGAATTGGGGTTCTCTTCCTCTATTTATTTTCCAGACCAGGAAGTTACAGGAAGAGAACATAGGTGGGGTTATAGTTTAACAATATAGGCTGGTAACTTTCAGTGAAACAAGCCAAATGACATTCCAGTAAGGCAAATAAGTGGTCCATTAACAAAAGCTTGGTCTTAGCAAACATTCCTTCTCCATCCAGCATTTCCAGTATCTACACATATCAATCAGTAACCTGTCTGTCCTTGAGCCAGCAACCTTGCTGTGTTACAAAATCTTTTATCTTACACCCGAGACTTTATAGCCTGAGGAAAATTTCCAGTCCTCTGCAAGGTCAATATTTGAAACTGCAAGGCTTTGGAAAACCAGGCCCTGTGAAGTACATTTGCTTTAAGAATCCTCTACAGATGGGGCTTGGGCTGATCTTTGATTAGTAACTTATTTTTCTTATAAAACCTCAGACAAGTTACTGAACCTCTTTAAGACTCAGTTTCCTCATCTGTAGAATGAAAACAATACTAGTCCTAGAGTTGTTGTGAGGATTAATGAAATACTTATGAAGAGTGCTTATCTGGCACCTGGTAGGAGCTTACTAACCCCCAAAAAGCGTTGTTGGCTGTTAGCACTGTTGTTAAAGCATGCAATGAGGTGGAGGATGAGACTGGCAGCTCAGATTGTGAAGGGCTTCGATTACTACACACAAACTTGGGTGCATTTGTTATCACTGCTCAGCAGCCTGTTTGACTTGGAATTTTTGGAAGTATTCCAAGGAGGTGAGGTTGGCGGATGATCTAGGTTTTGTATGGGTAAGGTCGTAGTATAATTTATTTAGTGGCATTTGAGGCAGGGGCTCACATATATTTGATGATTGGATTACTTTTTCTTAGACGCTGGCTCTTCAGCAGCAGTGTACAGCTTCTGGTGCTGTTCTGACCTCTCCTGTCCCAGTCCACAGTGCTGAAGGAAGTCTGATGAACAGAGGCAATTTTAGTAGGAAGTTGAGTGCTGTTAGGAATCTTGGTTTTTCTGTCATCCTCTTCCAGTGCTGAAATTACCACTGGCTTCACAAAATATATGGCACATATATGGTTCCTGGATGACTTAGATGCTTTTTGGGGTTTTCCTTTTCTCTATTGGATCGATTTGTGGTCAGTAACTTGTTGCCAATATTAAAACATTTAGGGGCTGGCCGGTTAGCTCAGTTGGTTAGAGCATGGTGTTATAAAACATATTTAACATTATTCTAGGGAAGAAGAGGAGCCAGTGCTTTTAAAGTGAAAAATGTATACTAAGCTTTTGGGGTATTTGACAAAGATGAGGGGGAGTGGGAAAAGGTCCCCAGCCTCTTCCTTTTTTCTTCCAGGAAATGCTCTAGCTAAATTGATATTCATGCCTGAGAATGTGGTTACATACTCTGAGTGATTTGCAAAGGAGAGAGTGGGTCTGTGGCAGTCTTCCTTTTCCATTTCTAGTGAGAGAAAGCACCAAGGACCCTGCCTCCTTTCTGGACACAGATGTTCGGACTCACTTCCATTTTGTGATTTTGGCCTTATACTGCCTCTCTTTTGCACTGTCTCATGAAGCAGGCCATATAGGTTTTAATTCCATTCTTTCAGATGGAGATACTGAGTCCCGGACACTTGCCCAAGATGCTCCTGAAGTCTTTATAGGCTAAGACCCACCCAGGTTGCTGATATAGTCCTGTGCTTTTTCCTGAAAGATGTTTATTAGAGATAGTAAATACTGTGTGTTGAATTCACTCTCCTGCTTAAAATCCTTCAGTTGCCCCCCATTGCCTATAGGATAAAGCCCAAACACCTTAAAATGCATGCAAATCCCATTAGGCTGTGACCCAGCCCCAGCCATATTTCTCACTTCTCTTGTAGCATTACTTGCCTCCATGTGTTTGCAGCTTCTCTTTTCTCTCCTCTTCCCTCTGCTTGTCCACTTACTGAACTCATGCACATTCCTACAAGCCACTTCCCTAGAAGGACTGGCTTGAACAGTTTGCCATGCCCTCTCTTCCCTCTACTAGTCTGCCTACAGTTAGGTGCCCCTCTTTTGTGCCCCTGTAGCACCATGTCAGTACCTTTATTATAGCATCTATCATATTATATTATGATTGTAAAAGTGTGTTGGTATTGTCTAAGTCTCCCCACTGGACCACAAGCTCCTGTTTGTCCTTGAGTGCCTGATACCTAGTAATTGGTAAGGATTCATTTAAATTATCTTTGTCTCTTATAAATGGCCTTCTCCTTGTCCATGCACAAACTTAGCTATCTTTAGAAGCATAGCCTCTTCTGCTTTAAAAAAAAATAATAATATATATATATATATATATATATGTATGTGTGTATGTATATATATATATATATGTATGTATGTATATATATATACACACATACATATGACTTATTTGGAAATGAGGCAAAGAATAATGTGGGTGTTTTTGTTATTGTTGTTTTAAGTTTAGGTTTTTTAAAATCACTTTCTTCTTTATCTGGTGTGTGTTTGGGGGAGGGGTGGGGTATGGTCCTCAACACCCAGAGAGGTCATGTCAGGAATGTGGTGGTAGCAGCCAAGGAAAGCCATCCAGGGGTGTTTTCATCAGCTGAATAATAGCAAGATTATATGAGGGCATTACTATTGGAAGCCACACACATCCTCACCTCACCTAAAACCTACATGCTCAAGGCTGTAGATGCTACTTCCAGCATTTGACTCTTTTCTGCCAATCTTACTTGTGATTTGGTGGCTATGACATTAGTTCCTAATCCTGTGACTCTAGAGATATTGCACATTGACAAGTTAGGTGACATTGATTCTAGTCATTTGTGGTTTCTCTATCATTAATACGATTAACCTAAGTCAATATCTTTGGTGACAATTAATAGAAACCCACTCTAACTAACTTATGCCAACGGAGGAATTTATTATATAGGTGTGACTCATGGAACTGTGGGCCAATGGCTGGACCTCACAAAAGCCTGGAAAGCCACAGGAGTCCAGGCCATTATTGTTTGTGTGTCTGGCATTTGGCTTTTATCTCCAGTGTCCTCTTTGTGTGTCTCATTCTCTGCAGAACATCTTTCTCTGCTTCCTTGCATTTGTGGCCAAATTTGCAAGTCTGTGTTTAAACCTCCAGCTTGATAAGCATCTCTTAACCCTTCAGCCAGATTAGTAGAAGAGATAAAGTGATTAGTTATCCTTTGTAGATTCCCTATGCAGTTGACTGGGGAGGAGGAAGTTCACTGCTGGAGCTAGTAGTCTGGGGAAAGAGAGTTTTGGGTAGGACAGAATCCTAAAAGGCATCTCCTTTGTTTTGTTTCTGGAATATAAAGAAAGGATAAGCATCTCTTAACCCTTCAGCCAGATTAGTAGAAGAGATAAAGTGATTAGTTATCCTTCGTAGATTCCCTATGCAGTTGACTGGGGAGGAGGAAGTTCACTGCTGGAGCTAGTAGTCTGGGGAAAGGGAGTTTTGGGTAGGACAGAATCCTAAAAGGCATCTCCTTTGTTTTGTTTCTGGAATATAAAGAAATAATTTCACTATTTAGAGCATTAATATAGGTAGTTTGGGATCATATAAATTCTTTATCATCAGAAGATGATACCTCTTTTGAAGTAACAATAAACTAGTCTTCTCCAAGCAAGGCTAGTCTTGCTCCAGTGTTTGGACTGAATTCCAAGCACCAGTCAAAATGATCTGTATAGTTTTCTAACAGCTGATTGAATTAATGAATAGCTTTGCTTTCTCCTTAGAGAAAGATGATAGAACCTGTCAAAAATAATTGTGCTTTACTGTAGTTCTTTGCCAATGACAGATGATGAAAACTCTCAATGAAAATTTCAAAATTACCAAAACACTTCTAGCATTTACATATGCAAGAACCCCAGACCCAATGCACAGAATCATTTGGGGAGTGTTTTACAAAACCAGAGGCCCAGTCTGCAACCCCACTCTCTGAGTCTGTAAGCTTCTGGTGGGGCTGGAGTGTCTATAGGCAGCAAGCTTTCCAGATGATCTGATATGCCCCAAATTTGAGAAGAGCTGCCTCAGAGGGACTTGATTTGTGGGCATTTCCTGGGATGGAAATCTTAGTCACCTCCAAAATAGACCATGCTCTAAATGGGTTCTCTGGAAAAGCCATGGCATTGTTCTTCAGCCTCAAGACGGGCTATCTAATCTCTCCCCACCTCAGCTGTGCCTAAGTTTCTTCTAATGCCTTATTTAAGTCTGAATTGACAAATTCAGAAAGGTTATCCTATCCAGAGCCCTCTACCAAAACAAAACACCCAGTTTTATTCGTACTAATTTTGTCTTATAGAGTTTTCCACAGTCAGGATTTGACTGATTGTATCCCCATGGTATCATTTGACATGTTTCTCTGTTGCAGTGTTTCTTATAGACTGGTGATTGCCATGGAAGCTCAAACAGATTGATAGATATTTTGGCAAGAACACTTTATGGATGATGTGGTAGACTTCATGATGAGGCCCACCATGCCTCTCTTTTTGTTATGTTAACAGCCATTT